ACCACGTACTCTACATTTATGAGCCCCGGAAATATGCTCTTTGGTAATTGAATCCGGCAGATTGTTTCTTTCAACTCCGGCAACCGAATTGAACTTGTCTTTCTTTTTTCTTTTTCTTTGGTGCAAAACAAACGGCAACTGCTTGGAACCGTTGATTAAATTTTTACATTGTATTCCTTGGACCGTTGCAGCCAAATCCAATGATGCCTAATGGCCAATTTAAATTGGGGGCAAAGTGTGCGTCCTACTAACACAAAAGAATTTCTCTGCCGTTAAAAGTTGGGCAAATTTGATAGTTACTTAATTAGGGATCCGCAAATCATGGGAATGGAATATCTTGACCGTACATCTGGAGGTCTTATTGAGATTGATGTAAATTGAAGGTGGTGGCTTTATTTATTAGAAAATTGACCAAAAACGCACTTCACACCAGCCATCCATGACTCTCACATTACCAATACCACCTTGCCGCTCTCTGTCCCTTCCCTGGATAGCAGCAGGCCAGGCCATAGCGTAAAGTCTTATGCCTTGTTCATATTTGCCCAATTCGTCACTGCATGGTGGACGTTGTCACATTGGACCCCCCTTCTTTATTTTATCTTGTAAGTAGGAGCTCGGAGCTTGAAGCTCGAAGCTCGGAGCTCCTGTATTCCTGTCAATAGTAATGTGATATGTGTGTATAAGTATTTCTTTTTGTGTTTTTGATAAATTATTTTTGCATATATGTCAAACTGTGATTCGTATGAAAGATGAGTATATCCTTATATATAATGAGACAAACAGTGTCCTTCCTCAAGCCCTTTGCCTTCAAACCTGCTTTTCTTGTTTCTTTTCTATGGAGGAATCATTCTTCCTTAACTCACAATTCACACCTTAATGAATATCGATACTCTTAATCAAATAATGCATGAGTGTTTCGTTTATTCAAATTCGAACTTACTTTGAAGATTATTTGTTTGCATCTGATACGAGATAGAGATACAAACACATTTGATTTGGTGATCTAATTTGTTACACAAATTGTTGGGGGGGAGGGGAAGACACAATTGTCAAAAGATGGCACACCACTTCCACTCCTACTATCGTCATTTTCCATCAAGGACAGTCCTTAAGAAGCTTGAAGACAAATTGTTAAAAGTCATTGCAATTAGTTGAAAAAATAATAGTAAAGAAGAAAGTCATTGCAAATTAAATACAAGTGGGTCCCATTTGCATCTCCCTCTTTATCTTTGAGAAAAGTAGCTGGCCCCTCCAGACGCTGGGAACGCGGGAATGACAGAAAGCGACTGCGTCGTAGGCATTGTAATTTGTAATACGTAAGGAAGGCACGAACTGAGTCAGACCGATAACGAATTGGACTAAATTCTAAATTTTATTGTTGTGATGGCACCGACTCAAACTTATTCTAAAACAATCCAAAAAATAAAAAAAAAATTTGGGCCGTTTGATCTTAAACAACAATGTAGTTTGATGAAATATTATATGAAGGGAAGACACTTTTACCATCGAGAAAATCTTGTGTATGGTTGTCGTATGCAGTAGCTCTCTCATCGTAAGGTGAGACTTAGCGTAAGTCTCATATGCAAGTGACATTCCAATGTAAGATAGCTAGTCTCACAATACACACGTACAAAAATCACCTTATCTTGAGAAAGCTACCGCATAAGACAACCATACACAAAAATTTCACTCAAAAATTTCTCCCATACATCTCAACTGGCTCAACTGCACAATTCCATACTGAAGGGAAATGGGACACTCTTAAAAATAATGGAGGTTGGAAGGGACCAATAGCTCTTTAACACACAAAGGTCAGTAGGGAGTGGAGTAATAATACTATAATAATATTACCAATGTAACATAACCAGGTGGCTAAAGCTCCGTAGGGAGTGAAGTAATAATAATACTAATCATAATTAATGGAAAATAAGATGGGATATTTATTACAAATCATGTGCAATTCCTATCATAAACATGGTGGAGTTTCTTTGATGCCACGGATGTCTATACTAGAAATTTAATTAATTATTCTATCGATTAATCTGTAACGTAATTCTTTTAAAGGGAAAACTTTTATTATTTGTTTTTACATGATCGTATTCAACGGTTGCGATTATTTTATTCTAAAACAAATGGTTGATGATCGAGTTTGAGATTGAAATTAATTAAATTTCATATGGAGGAGTTGAGATTGGCCTTCTAATCCGCCAACCCACATGAGAGAGTTATGCCCTTTCCTAGATGGGGGACACATGACATCTCCCACGAAGATTACATCAAAAGACCATAGTTCGTATTTTTTTTTTCTTGGTTTGAAAACCATAGTATATATTCTAAAGCGTGAAGCACCAGTTAGAATAAAATTCTCTTGACGCGTTTTAGTACTTATAAATTATGTGTAATTAATTAATTACTTTTATTTTAGAGATTAATTAAAGTCTACAGATCTTCAATCGTTCAAACTATAGTAATTAATTAATTACTCTCTCTCTCTCTCTCTCTCTCTGCCGTCTTTCCGTCACTGTTTTTTTTTTTTTTGGGTGTCGCTGTTTGTTATCTGTGCATGGTAAAGTCGTAAACAGCTAGACATTTTGTAGTTTTTGCTTAAAGAAACTAGACATGGTTTGGAGATTAGAGATTCCGTCTTCTTCTTTTTTCCGTGTTGGAAGGGGGTTCTTTGGAACAAGTCCATAGTTTTATAAATCTGTTCAATCAATCAATGTTTATGTAATAAAATTATACATTATATCACATTTTTCAATCAAATAATGGAATTAGGCCATCAAATTGTTCTAGAACTCAAACATCTTTTCATTTCTGAAAAATAGCTGGATTAATCAATTTTTTCCGTACTCTAGCCATTCGTCACTTGTGAAGAGGAATGGAAAGTGACTTATCACGCGCTTAGTGACGAGATTATGGTAAATAAAGTTTGTTATTTATGTTTTGACTATGAAAAGGTTGTTTGTATGTTTAATTCTCGTATTTGTAATCGTTCGATGCACACGCTAAGTAAGTTTGTTTTCAGCAAATAAATAATTCACAGTGAAACAATAACAAATCGTACTTCGTTTAGTGCAACCAATAGTCAAACAAAATTTTAAAGACAACGATTTATTTATTTTGTTATTATTATTAAGAGAGTCGCAATGGAAGAATACCATATTGTACTTTTGTTCAACTCTCTCCTTCAAGAGATGAAGATGATGACGAGGCTCTTAGCATGATTTTTGTCCACAGCCAAACCAATAGTCAAAAACCCTAAACTAGTGAGAGGAAATGTAGACTACGATTGACACGTTCTAGCTTTTTTTTTTTTTTTTTTGTCTTTGTTTTAAGAGCTATGACTCTGAGTAGCTACCTAACCCAATTAGACTCATGAGATCAGACCTAACATTGACTCGTGTTAATTAATTTATTAATTTTATCCCAGTTTTCAAATTTCAAATTTAATTTTTGTATTAATTTAATTTAATCTGTGAACGAATTTGTCAACAAACAATATTTATTATTTGAACATATGAAGGCAAAGAAAATACTAAAAATATAGTAACGAAGATATGCTATATATGCACCCCGCTTTTGAACATGGTTTGAAGATTATATTAATCGTTAAGGCGTTTAATTGAGATCAACAAAATAGATGAATACAGTGCTTCAAAAAAAGACTATAATAACAACTATTTAATTGATTAATCAAATAATTTCAGATTTAAATGATTTTTTTCATAAATAATCTTCGAGTGAATATTTAAAAATTAGATGGTAAAACAATGTGTGATGGCAAAGTCAATTCGTGTATTTGGTATGGAAAAGTCAATTCCGGCAGAAAGGCATCCATGGAGTTTTGAGTGTGCCTTCCAGCTGCACTCGAAGCCTGCGGCCGCTGGTAATATAAAGAATTTTCATATTTGGGCCACTTTCTTCCCTCTTTCTATGGTTGAAGTAGGAACTTTCCCTTTGTTTTTTTCTGCTAGGAAAAAAATAACTGTGTTTTTTTTCTTCCTTCAGTTTGAATTTTTTGATGACAGAGAATCACTCAGAAATTATACGTGTCATCTTCGTAATTTTTTTTTTTTTTTTTTTTTTGTTTTGTTTGAAATCCATGATATTTAGAGTTCAAACTTATGATATTTGAGTTATACTTCATTCTATGCTCACCCTTAGATTTTTTTGGGGGTCAGATGCCCACCCTTAGATTAGTTACTCCATGTCTCTGTATGGAGTCACTCCATTCTATAGTGAGGGTCTTATATACAGTTCTTAAATGAGGTCCTATCTTTTAACCATTGATTCAAACTAACCAATTTGATCAAACGGTTAAGAGATAAGAGCCTCAATTAAAGGCCATATCTAAGGCCCTCACTATAGAATTCTTGATTCTTTGGTTTGGTAGTGGATCTCATCACCCGTTCGGCCACACACACAATTAGGAGGATTCTCCATATTTAGATCCCACAGCCTCACATTGGTCCCACCCCAATGCAGAGGAGTCCTCTTTGTTTGTGCGTGTGACTAGACGAGTAATGTGATCCGCCAACCGGACCAAAGAATTTCTCACTTGAATGGGTACTTTAAATCGCTAATAAATGGGACAATTGTCCAATTTAATCAATCAAGGCTCACCATTATTAAATACATCGACATATAACAGGATAGTTAACCCATTTCAATTGGTTATGTCCAGTCCCTAGTCCCGCCAAATGGGGACTAACTCATCATCTTCGATCTACTTATATTCCCAATTCCTTTTTGTTCCCATAAGAGAAGGCAATTCGTGTCGAGTTAAAATTACTTCTATTTCTTTTTGGGTTCAACCAAGTGTTCATCACCTGATGCTGTATACTGTGATTGGTAGATGGTTTTAAAAAAATGTAAACCTAAATGCTGCCATGCCACCCCTAGCACCCATCAACTGAGCGCAACTATCCAGTGAACAGTGATCTGTAAGCAACAGCAATATCTTGAAATGCAATTGCAATTGCAAAATTTTCATTTTGAAGAACTTACTTAAATATCGACTATTGGGCAGCACTACAACAATGCCGATTTTCTCGAATTAGTTGAGCACTTCAACAAACAAGATACTTCCTTCTGTAAACTTAGTCTTGGCGTTAGCATGGATCGCATCCCACCCGAGACTTTACGATTCAAACTAAATCAACGCTGTCATGGGGAATCCTTCTCAGCAATTCGCTTGCCCTGAAATATTTCAAAGAGATGTAAATATTTCTTTGCACAAATCTCAATAATTGATACACATGAGCAACCAGGTTATGATCAACCAGGTTCGTGAGTGTGTGCATTGCAACCAAGTTTACCATATCGAACGACATAATTTCAGATTTAATTTGAATTTTCAGCATTTACAATTAACTATTTATTGAAGTCAGCCCTGTCAAACAACAGTCCCACTGGGTCCAAAATGATAGAGGAAATAGGAAGCAGGAGATTTTAGTCTAAAACTACTAAAAGATTGAAATGCTGGCAAAGCTGACAGAGGGTGCTCAAATACATGAGAGATAGTAAGGTGATGTACAATGAACCTAATTTGGCAAGTTTTCACCAATATGATGCTAGTATAAACAAGGAGTACTCAATTCTCTTGAGGTTTCAAATAACTCCTACATTTGTTACTGAAGGTCTAGGAAGACAGATTTTGACAAAAAGGGATCTGAAATGATTTACTTCCCCTTCTGTTTCCATCCATGAAGCAAACAGGATAGAAGAACTTCATCGGATAATAACTGAAAGAAGGCTTTGAATCAACTGAAAATATGGCTTGTACAACATCGAGTCATATGGGACAACTAGCTCACTCACATAAGCCAAAGACTTAGAAATTAAAAAAAATGGATGGGCATGGTACAGAAAGCCTTACCTCACCAAAAATGTAAAATTTACTGCCACAACAGCCTATTGGCATGGTACAGAAAGCCTCATAAATTAGAAGAATCCCAGCTGGCATACACTGCATCAATGATTTTCTCATGCAGTGTGGCCCCAGAACAAACAACTATGCCTCTGTCAAGTCCTTCTAAGTACGGTCCCTTTGAAAAGTCCAGGGGGCGGCCTCCAGCATCAGTTACGACACCTCCAGCCTCTTCTACAATGACAACACCAGCAGCATGATCCCATATCTTCTCTTTGTACCCAGTCCTTGCAAACTTCATGAATAGCTCAGCATCTCCTCGAGCTATGGCTGCATATTTCACCATGCTATACACACGCAGGGGCTGATTTCTACCATGTCATATGAAAGGAAAATATTAAATTAGAACACAAGCAAAACTATATAGTTGCCAATATCTTCCAACCACAGTTAAAAAGGCATGCAAAACAAGAAGGTGCCTAAGCTTCATATCATATTGCCAATCAGAGAAAGAAAAAGAAACTTAAATTAATGAAGGTACAAACGATTGCAATGAAAAGGAAGTAAAACTAGGATACTTCCAGTAAACTCATTTTAACCTTAGATGACTATCGATCACATTGTGTAGTACTTCAACAAACATTTCATCAAGAAATTGCCTTGAAGAAAAGCAGTACTAACAATTCCAAGCCAAGGGAACATACTTCTTGTTATAATAATTTATATTCCTCTTTATAGATATTATTTCAAAGAACTGCAAAATAGGACCATGAAAAAGAAGAAACAAACAACGGTAAGACAACAACCTATGCCATACTTGTGATGAAAAACCACTCATATCAATAAGCAGTACGCTATATATTTATAAAGAAATGTCATCCAACTGGAAAAGCAAAAGTTTGATTATACAGATTTTATATATACTAAAGAAGAAACTAGTAAGGGAAGTGCTCCTCTACTTAATAACTCATTTTATTTATTTTATTTTAAGTTTTCTCCTCCCATCACTGTTACACCATTTTCATTAAGTCCTGGTTTCATTCTCGAGTCTGAAAACTATCCTAATGGATGGATTTATAGAAATAATTAAGTAAATAAATGTACCTAAGCCCTACACTGTGAGCAAGTCCTGCTGTGAAAGAGTGGTCTGAGTTTGCTTTCTCCACAGGTTCACAACAAGTAGCCAGTTTGGGGTCATCGATGGAAGAAACACGAACAAGTCTTGCAGAATTTGGCCACACAAACTTCTTATCTCCAGGGATTGGTGGCTGCATCCATGCCTCACCACTGCCTCTTTTCGCATACATGACACAACCTCTTTCCCACATATCATCAGAAGGTGGAGATAGCCTTGACATGGTTTCATGGTACTGATAATGATAACTGAGCAATTCCTTCTTCATTGGGTAATTAGGGCACCCTAGTACTCCAATAACAACTTTTCCATCCTCGACCAAGGCTAGAGCTACAGCATATTGATCCCCACGAACAAACCCTAATGTTCCATCAACAGGATCAAGTACCCAATGTCTTCCTTTGGGGCCTCCTACTGAGTTGCATCGGCTGATAGCCTCAAGAACTTGAGACGTGTTGAGGGCTTTTGGTGGACTTTTAAGACCATACTTGGGTGCTCCAGCTAGGCATTCATTCACAGTGTTCACAACAGCTTCTAGCAAACTTGCTGAGTCAGCCTTAGAGAGAGTTTGTACATCCTCTTCAGCAATAATGGATACATTTTGACTCCCAAAGAATTCAGACAGTATCCAGCTAACAGTAGCTTGCACACTCCAATCTGTTGATGCACAATGCCAATACAATTAGTGAAACTCCATACAAAATACAAAACGATATTGATTTGAGTTGGAAAGACTCTTATTTTTAAAACGTGAACTCGATATTAAAGCAAAAAAAAAAAAAAAAAAACAGGATTCTACAGAGACTGGTTATGTTATTGAATATTTACAATTATACAAGAGAACAAGCAATTTGTGGCATATAAGAGCTCTTATAAAGATAATAAACCGACTTAAAGTAAAAGAAAAAACCCTAATATTGAAAAGGGTAAGATAAATCTACATCAATTCATGTCTGCAGCTTACACATTCTTCTTTCAAGATCATATAACGAAGAACATAAACTTCTGTGGCTAGCAAGTACATATATCAAGCTTCAAAACAATAGAGCAACTTCTAGCCAACCAACAAAATCAGTTGTAGAATTTAACTTCCTAGATAGGGGTAGCAGCTAAACGGTGGACGCACACTAGGACTATCATCTACTTGAAGAATGCAATCATTTTTTTAACAATAAAACAACATATTTCAAAGTTATGCAAGACAAAAAAGCAACTAAATTTGGCTTTCACATAATGCTCTTTTAGATTCTATAAGTTCTACTTGGCAAGTGCTCCACTCCCACCCCCACAATCACTTCTAAAGACAAATCTCACCGAACCTCTGCATGGATAATTAGCAGACAAAACGCATGCTCCATGTATTAGATGTTCTTCATAAAGATCATTTTATAAGAATCACATACCATCAGACTTTTCCCCAACAATTTTCATCTAACGTTCAATCCCCCTTATTTAAATAGCACTTGAATAAGAAGATTCTGATCCCACACTAGAGAAAACTACTCCATAGTCACGTAGGAAAACCTACAAAGATAATGCACCTAATATCAAGTAACTAAATTCATAAAGGGCCTATATAATATTTGTTGTCTGTTTAAAAAATTAAACTTATATTGTCCATCATAACTTGTAACATAGCATCATATATACAAATTACATATAAAAAAAAAAAAAAAAAAAAGTAGAGAGAGCATCACCTTAACTAATAGGTAATCAATTCAAGAATTACTAAGCATATGACCCTGTATGGCAGAACCGACCGACATGGACATTCTTAGTATTATCTAGAAAAAGTACTACATTGCACAAGTTTGACAAAAATTAGGAAAGCCCAAACAGCAAAACAGCAAAAAATTCAACATAAACCAACACAGCCAGATTGCTGCATTTGTAAGCATAAACAAGTTGAGCTTTCTTTCACTAAAGTTCCGAATACACTCGCAACATAAAATTTGATATTTGTACCCTTCACTTTGTCACTACCCAAACAAGGAACAAAAGCATAGAAGACGGTTTTCAGTGATATTTCCCAAATCCATCTCTCTCAAAGCCAAATGTCATAACAAACCCACCACCAAAAACCTCATTCCAAAGCACACCCGCCAATATGCAAAACGAAAAACCCAGATTCAAACATAATCATAGAGCAAAATTTTAATTCAAAATACCGGCAACAGTCACAGGAGAATCGTCTTCCTTGGACTTAACCAGGTCACTGCCAGCTGAAACAATCCCCTGTTGCAGTCTCTGACACAGAGAACACGCCATGTGAACGACTCTGACGGCCACATCCAGCTCCTTAGCGTATTTCTCACCCTCCATACTTCAATTTTGGACCTACCCAGATGGAGAAAAACGAAAAACAAGAAGAAAGCAGCAATCTTTGAGATACCCACCTGGGGATTTGTGAAAATTAAGGTTCCTACATTCTTGGGTTGCTGATTTTTGAGGTTTGTTTTGTGATGCCTACACAATGGCATTCACTGGTGCATTAACTTTATGCGTGTATATTTTTGAGTGACTCAAATTGGGGCTTGTCTGGGTTGGTGGCATTCGTGGGAGGCGTTTGGCTCGAAGGAAAGTATAAAAAGGCGCATGGGAACTGACGAGTGTCAAAAAGTTCGGTAGTGTAGTGTCCATTTTGGAGGCTTAATACGACCACAGGTGTCTCTGTCACAAGTTCACTTTTTTTCTCTCTCTGTGTTTGTGGAGAATTGTAGGGGCTGGCCAAAATGGGGCTCGTTCCATGGCCACTCTGAATTTGCCACGTATTTGGGGTCTGAGATTTTTTTCTTTTTTGACCTTTCAAAACTTGACTGAGATTGTGATCTATTAAAGCTACTTTACGTTTCAGTGCTCTCAGATGTTTTTTGGGAGGACCTATTGGGTTTCAGGCCTTAAACTACAAAAGAGAAGATCTTGGGCTGTCTGTCTGTGATAGTTGAGAACAAGGCCACCAACTTTTGAGGAATATCTTTACTTGAAATGTTTCATCGGTAAGAGTCAAGCCCAAATGTATGTGATCAAATTCAATGAAAATTCAACACAACGATTTATGATTTTGAAACAAATATTTTTTTCTTTTTTTGCCAAAGTTAAAAGGGGAAGGCGTTTAGTACACTTTTGTTCTACTGCAGTGGAGCACGAAATGAACAATAATGCTAGGGACATTAAATCTGTGCACTAAATTTGAATCTTAAATGATGTGCATGTGCCACGTGATAAATATTTAATTAACCAATTTTAACTTGGATTATGGTTTTTTTGGTTGTTGAGAAAGTCTAGGACTGCATTCATAATTCAACCAAAAAAACCACCAACCTCTATTTAATTGTCTTTCTAATATAAATAACAAGCATCTACAATGGACTCTCTAAATCATTACTTTAACTAAAATTTAGGGAGGAATTGAAAAAACTCACATTCAACCATGCTCCTTATCCAGCTCCTAAAATAAACTTTAACAATTAACCTTCAAATGCTAAAACGTACGTTTGATCATAAGTACAATTTCAACGCATAAAATTTAACTAACAGATTATATTTTATCCTGATTAAACAGTACACTTTGGTCTTTTCGACCGTCGAATCTATCCTTATTATCACTGCTAATCAACCTTCACAATGATGCATCTAAAACCATTTTCATTTAGGTCCCTTACAAGTTGCCCATCTACACAACACAAGAGACATGATATGTGTTCAAAACATTTGGGGAGGGTAGATTGTTGTACAACTAGGACCTCGAAATTTATGGCAAAAAGGACAATATACACTCATTCCCTTAACTTATTTTGCCTGCAAAAAATGTAATTGCTGGTTTCAGCTTCCATGTGCATGCATTTGTGCTGCCACCTAAGATTTCTAAATCGCACTCATGACCTTCTATTCATAGCCAAGACAGTTTGAAAGTTCTTTCCGGTCCGAATACACTTTGAAAGTTTCAATTCATTGTTTCACATGCGCTGATTGTCACTTCTTACATCTCTATTCACATCGATCAGTCCATTTTTTATATCATTAATTGTATGTCTAAAAAGTCCACATATTATCGGGAAAGTGTTATAAAAAGTCCATTAGTGGACCTATCAAGTATACTAATGTAAATGAGAAATTAATGGATGACATTGGAATACAACTAAATGATATAATCCGTCTACGTGTCATAATATAAGTAGACAACAAAATTAAGATTTTCTTCTTTGAAAAAATAATATTATTGAATATTTATTTATGTTATAGCACATATGGACTAATTATACAATGTTGTCATACTTCATCACCAAACTATAAGTACTCAAGATGAAGTAATGTGATTCGAAATACTTTTGAAAAAAGAACACATACTAATTAAGAGTTTGTAATAAGTTTATAGTTCTTGTAATTGGAAGTATAAACTTATACAACTAAAGGTTTGTAGCTCTAGTGGTCGAACATATTAACTTCTACAAAATGGTTTATAGCTCTAGTCGTTAAAAGTATCAAAACCAAAAGTCAGAGTTCTAATCTCCTCTGTTACCATACTTGTAACAAAAAAACGAAAAAAACTTTAGCAAGATATATATATATATATTGAAATGTCAACTTTCCATCCGAGGAAGAAGTGTTCAAGTAGAACTTGTAATGTAAGCATATGTACTATATAGTGTTGGGCACAATAAATTGAGCTTACACATTTCACCGTCCGATTGGAGGACAATGAGATGGGATTAGCAGCACAGAGTAGTCACATTGACAGCTTACTTGATCAAGGGGCAGTACGTACGAACTAGTCAATTGTACCGATGGCCTATATGTGTGTCGGTCTGAACACCGACTTATGATCAATACCACGATCATCATGATCATGACATGGCATCCAAGATTAAATTCACCAATCAAAATCTAGGATTATACTGTCAGAACTGGTAAATAGTTGAAGATAGCCAAAATATTCTATATACTAATTAATATCAGGTTTTTATTTTCCAATGTGAATTATACTTTTAACACACTTTTTCAAGTGCTATGTCATTTTAAATTAAATCGAGACAACTTCTATCTGCTATGATATATATCATGAGAGAATTAGAGCATCCAATTCAAAACTAGTTAACAATGAATCACGAGACTTAATATTTGTAAATCTTATCATAATTAGGGCTTTGCTTCTACAATGTGAAGCAATACCTCAACATTTTCTTGTGTGCATCATAACCGAAACCAAACCTAACAGATCTTGTTCGATTGGCTAGACTGGTTAAATGCCTATATCCCTAATTGGACAACCATATTTATGGGATGAGTTGTACGTAGAATCATACATTTGGATGACAAAATACGATAGGTCTTGAAATGAAGTTGCAAAGAAAATTGAGTTAAACTGTAATTTTTCCCTTTGATAAACGCTTTCAAGTGTGGGCCGCCATCAATATAAAACCATTAATTTTGCAACCAGATGGACAAACAAAAAGTACAGTTTCACAGCTGAAAGTTGAAACCCTATTTTTTTTTTTCTCCACCACCATAACTATCACAATTACACACCCCAACTGCCCCTCCACGTGGCAGAAACCCACACGATCATTACATGATTTGCTAGCTAGAAAACAAGCAGGTTTTCAACTACAATTACATGACCAATTTTTTTCCTGTGTGTATGCATAATGGATATACATGTACAGCTAGCTCATCTCAATTCTCCTTCCTCTTGACCTTTTACCTTAATTTTCACTCGTATAAATACCATGCCTACCAGGAATTAAATATTCTCCAAGGCAAAGACATCTCTGAAATTTTTGAAAAGAGGTGTTTTTATATTTGAAATGGTTTGCTTTTGTTTTCTGGTAGACCAGAGGAGGAAGGTGCGGCGGAGCAAGCCGGTGGCTGGGACATGTTCGAGATGTGGGCGTGGAGCAAGCGTGGCTGACATAAAGACTTCGACTAGGTTTTGTTATGTTCCATTTTATTGGAAATCTTGGAAGGCAATCATGTGTACTTTTTGTGGAGCCATTCTCAAATCTTATAGATGAATTTTGCTGATATATATGTATATTAATATTATAGTTTTGGCTCTCTCTCTCTCTCTCTCTCTCTCTCTAAGTTTTCTGTATGTTAGGGTTGAGTTCTTGACTGTTTTGATGATGAACTGAAAGTTAGGCTCAGTACTATACTTCACGTTTGTTTGTTCGGGACTGCATAGAGCTGTAAATATAGGCTGCTGATATTGTTAATCATGGAGGAGATGATAATGAAGGGAAATTTTCTATCTGTTTAGTGTTGGACCAAATATCAAGTTGTTCAATCATATCCACCGCTCCGGGATGTGCTGTTTTTTGGGTTTTGTTATAAAATCATGCAAGAAATGGGTTTTATTATAAATTTCTCTTTTTTATATTATCGTATCCATAACCAAAACCATGTAATATTTTTTTTTTTTTTTTTTTGGTTCTCTTCTCTGATTCTTTGCTATGCTACTCCTTCAGCATTTCCTAAGGTACTAATCCCATTCTGTCCTAGCTATTAATGATAGACAAAGACTGTCTACTTTATAGCTAACTCATCTCCTAATTTATAGCTCTTGTTTAGAGTTAACTTGGTGTCGCTATAACTCCTAATAATTCATGCAAGGGAATTCCGCAATGAATTGGTCTTCTTAAAGTATTTTCAATTCTCTCAACCTAGACTCCCTTTCAGATGAGCTTGGCTCTTTAAAACTAAGGAGGAGTTTCTCCTCAAAGCAAATGAAATTTTGACACTCGCGCGTTAGATTTCAAAACAAAGAAAGTTAAAAGAATTTCAGAAAAAGAAAAAAAATCAAATGAAATTTGCAAGTGTTAAAACTCCATTTGTTATAAGGACGAACTCCTCCTCAGTTTTAAGGAGCCAAGCTTTTTCCTTTTCACACCGGCAACATTTTTCTCTCCCAACACAAGTAACATATTTTCCACATAAACGGACGTTGATAATTATATGTCGAGGACACTGGCGGAACTAGGTAGAGAGCTACCATGGGTTCTAGCCTAGGTAGCCTTTTTATAAAATTAAAATATATTACATGTGTTTTAATGTTATTCATCCCATAAAAACTTAATAGCCCACTCAAATGTAGCCTTGTAACCCATTGTCCACTCAATTTTGTAGGCCTATAGTCATCTTATATTTAATTTGTTTGCTCAATTAAGAAACATAATCTCTTAATAAACACTCATGATTTTAACTCTCAACATTTTACTATTTTATCTCAATGTATACTTTTATTCTAGAAAAACTATAGAAGCAGTAAGTACCCAAACAAAACTTGGTCCTTATATTTTAAGTTGATAACTTTAGCTAGCCCACCCATTAAAAAAATTTCTAGTTCCGCCATTGGTTGTGGAATTTAATTATTATTACCAAGCTATATATATCTTTGAGAGCTAACCCAACTGAGGGGTATGTACAACGACTCAACATGACAACTGTACGTACTGTTGTCAATTGACAAAACAAGCTGATATATAGTATTAGCCACCTAATTGTTAAGGTTTGCGAGCATATGTTGTCGTCGTCCACATATTCATGAAAAAAAAACCCTACTTGTCTGGTTCCTACTCTATATGGCTTGATTTTTTATTGATGGATCAGGTTTTGATGTTTTTTGTTTTTGTTTTTCGGGATAATGCTTCTCTTCCTTGCCCATAGCTCCTCCTTGCAGAGTAAAGTGGCTCAACCACAAACTCATATAAATGTTTTTTTTTTTTTCATTCTTAAAAGTGCATTTATATTAAAGGCCATCCTTTTTGTTGGAGAGAATTACCTACGGGCAATGGGAGCTTTCTTTCTATCTCTCTCATCGCATTCACTGGCGTCTTTGTTTCTGGTTTTGTCTCCCCTTTTGCTACCTTCGGCATGTTTGTACTGGGAGTTTTGACATAAGAACTTTCATGCACGTCATTTTCTAATTTAAACACATAATATGTTACAAATTTTTATTTAAAATTTAAAATTTATACACATATTATGCTTTAACTGGATTCTACCAATGAATTTAATACATGATAACAAAAAAGATTGGGAATTTGGGATGGGCCTTCAACATTGGCCAGCGATAATTAATTAAACTTTGGGCTGGAGATATAAAATTAAAGCCAGCCCAAACCCTAATTCAAATAGAAAAAGCCTTGTCGACGAGCCTACCACTAGCCATGGCAGTGATAGGTGCGTGACGTCACGTCTGTGTTAGAGATGAAATGAGGCCCACAGAAACCTAAATTGGGAATTTGACCGGAAGTGGCAACGTGTCTCTGATATTTGAATTAGAAAACATGGGAGTTGACGTCAACCATGTGGCTTTGCATGACAGTGTGTGGAGGACAGGAGACTGGAGAGAGTCATGCAGCCCACCCACACACGTTGCTTTCGCTTTCTTGCTCTCTGCGCTGCCCCTCTTGCATGCATACATGCACCCCGCACCGCACAAAATTCTCTCAAAATTAAATTGACGAAACTGCCCTTGCGAAGACCAAGAAAAATCAATTGCTGTATCTTCTAAGCTGTAACTTGCATGGCAACGGCATTGCCAGAAGAGTCCTGACTAGTGAGTCATTTTCTTTCCGCGTACACTAGGGTATCGAAGGATGTTGTTGGATTGACTTTGACAGGTCTAGTTAGAAGGTTGACGGAGTCATTTGCTTGATGATTGATCATGTCTTTTCAATGTATTTCAAAGGAAGGGAAGTGGTAACTGGTAAGGGACAGGACAGGACGCTCCTCGCGACTCTATTCACGGGGACCCCTTAACGTGAATGGCGGTGTCACGCTTTGCTGGTGCCTTTTCAAACTTTTAATTAACAATGTTTAAGCCTGTTTATTAATCATTACTCGCTTTAAGCTCCCCCCTCCAAACCAAATTTTGACTTAAAACAACATGCACCAAAGTAACTTGTACTTGAAAAATGATGTCTAGTTACCACTTTGCAGGAACTCTTCTGTTAATTTACAATTAGTCAAAACACTAATCCATATAATACAAGAAAATATGTTGAAATTGCTATGTTTATTTTTTTTTAAAAAATATATATATAATTCATTTCTTTCGTTGAGTGTGGGGTCAATGATTTTTTTTTTCCTGCTGGGTGTGTATATGGGGTGGGTGAACTAACATTTCTTTCGCCCTAAACCCCAAAAAAGAAACAAAGATTGAATATGAATATTACTCTTATTCAATAATAACACTCAAATTAATATATCCCACAAACTTATATACAAAGTTTCTCCTATGCAGACATTATATATTTTCTATTATCCGTTTTTACTTTTCTCTGTTTTTACAATGATGCCCTATGCGGACGCATATATATGCACAAAGATTTGAAGATGATACATATTTTAACATTGAGTAGTGAGAAGAGAAATATAGTATTGTGCTGAGAGCTATAGTTCCTTTCATCAGTCGTTTAGAGTTTGTGAGGCTTTCATCATCGTTAAATATCTATATTTACACGTCATCTGCATGTTAATATTTCAATGCCAACAAAATCCAATTATGAAAATTTGCAGTATAGATATTTTTGCAATTTTAACTTATATAAACAAAAACCGGGAAAAACTTTTGTGATTAGAAAAAAAAGTCGATTAGCATGACTATCTTGTCTTTGGCATATGTCCTTTTCTTGAGTGACAAACAAACTGTATTATATATATATATATATACATTCTATTTCTATTTAGGGACATTCTTTAGCCTAGGGTCTCTCACGAATTTTTTTCAATGATCCAAATCATTTATTTTTTTTCAATGATCCAAAAAATTAGACAAATCGAAAACCATTTCAATATCCAATTGTATTCTACGAAATCAATGAACACGGTGCTTTAAGAAAGTATTAAAATTTCAATAATTCAATTGAGTGGTCAAATGATATCGAATTCAAGTGGTTTTTTTGTAGAGATGATCTTTGAATGAGTATCTACAAAATACACAGTTTTGATTAGTGAAATACATTACAGAGTGTGCCCTACAAAAGTGTCTCTCAATGAAAGCTCTCTGTATATATATTTATGATGCAAATTAAATAACAATTTATCCAATTACCAACTAAATTAAAAAAAAATTAATATTTGTTAAATTTAAGTTTAAAGTTGCTATGTTAAAGAATAAAGGAGATAGGGACGTTGGTGATGATGGCCATGTGCTTGAAAGCGGCGCGATATAATTTTATAGCAGAAAAGCTCAGCCTTTGAATTTTAACGGAGGGCTGGCTTGTTCTTGTTCACGTCAACTCTGGATTCTGCACTTCTACTCTACTATATATGTCGTTTACCACCGCTGTATGAACTATATAACTATTACCCACGTAAAACGCGCACGTATTAATGTCGTCCACATTTTAAAACTGGATTAAATCTTAGTCATGATTTATCCCTCACACGTGCACTGTTGCGCACACACTTAAAAGTTGTAATTAAATTCTGTGTACAAAAAAGAGGGTTTCTCAAGCACCTAATGTTCTCTTACCCATGTAGTTGGAGAGAGATAAATTTTGTTGATGAACTGTGATATGTTAATTTCAATTTTGTTCTTCAACTTTGAAAGGTATGTTAAGCTTTCAACGTAAGGGCGGAGCCAGATTTAGGCTAGAGATGGAAGGAAAATTGATATATTTTATAGGTCTCTTTGTGGAAGGAAATTGATATAATCCTGCTTTTAATATAAATGGCTGCCAAATTTCCGTAACAAATGAATATATAACAGTAAATTTGTACTATCTATATTACTTTATAAGAAATTTTTTTTTTTTTTTGCATATTGCGTGATAATTCACGTGTCATAACATTATTGCCCGAAGATAGCAAAATAATATTATCCCCATATTTTTTAATTTTTTTAATTTTTTAATTTAGAAATAGAATTCATTTATAGAATCAAAGTAGAATACATAGAATGACACGAAAACAGTGGCCTCGTTAAAACTTTGATGAGGGACAAACCCCAGGGTAAGAAAATGTACAACTCATGTCATTGACTAATAAGAGAATTTGAAACAATTACGCATGGCCAATGCTATAGCAGGATAAAATAAAACAGCAAACTGACACATAGACTTTCGACTTATAGACCTCCGACAAGAACACTACAACACAATCCAACTGTCAAAAAAGTCATGTTATGAAATCATAGTCCTTTGCACAGCCACAAGACATTGAGAGCATTTGACAGAAAACACAATATGTTAAGAAGAAAGAAAACATCCACTAAGCACACCATCTCTAGCCACCTCCAATAGCAATTGGCG